ATTGTACGCTTTCTCGATTTTGCCACTTGCTGCTTCCTGTTCGTTCGGTTCAACTTCAACGAACTGCGGTAAAATGTATTTGCGCCGGAAGTACGTCATCTAGCTTACATAAAATTCTTAACCAATAGTAACGAATTGCTGCTGCAGCGTGCTGCGCATGAAAAAGTACCTTGAGAATCGGAGTAAATGGAAAGCAACTATTATTAGACTCTGACGATGATCGGTAGATTTTATGACTTTTATGTTATCAAAGACAGAGAGATTGAATTGATGTAATATTCAATTTCTGTTTCTTTTCCACCTTTATATACTGTGGCCCGTATTCAGAACGCGCTAACAACGGTTAGCACGCTAACATGCTATAGTTTACGTCACGTATACTATAGAATTTCAGAGATAAAAACGCGCTTTTATTGATAAAAGTGCGTTCTGAATACGGGTCTATATGTTAATACATATGTTATATAATGTATATTAATGTTTATGTAATTATACATGTTTTTTTATTCGAAAAAAATATATTCATTTATATTATATACTATACTTTATTCCTTCATTTTTATCACTTTTTACGCATATTTTTTAATTTTCGTGCTTATTTACTTTTTTTATTCTAGCGTAGGGAATTGTAGGGATTTTTTATAACGTTGGTAGGGGTAAATGATATTTACGTTTTAACCACACTGCTAGTCGGAGCCATTTTACCAAAAGGCTCAGCAGCCGGGGCACTCTACTAAAATTGTGGATTTTTTTTCTGTCAGTTCGAAGGTACGTGACATCGAATTCCAAGTGTTAACTAGAGGCGGGAGCCATTAATTAAAGAAGAAGAAGAATTCCAAGTGTATATATCGTTCAATATATATAATTATTTAAATATACACAAGATTAATTGATTTATAAATATCGTTACAGCTGTGAGAAGAACTGCTGATTGCAAAAATGGTGGCTCAGAAAAAACAGGTATTAAGCAACGCCGTGCACCCACGTGCACGTTTATAAATATTCTGTGTAATTAAGTTTTTAAGTAGATATTTAAGATCTTTTTAGTAGATATTTATTATATATATATATATATATATATAATATAATTGCCTTATTATAATATTATTACAATTATTGTAACTTGTGCAAATCGTAATTATTTTGATCAGTTAAATAAAAAGCTGAAACAAGTACTTACCACGTAGAACAGCTGTCTAGAATGAATCAGCTATTCCAACATTCACATTGTTTTTTCTGAACTTATTTCTGTTTAATATTAAAGATAAAATAAAGCTTACAAGATAATGTAAAATGTTTTAATTAATGAACAATTTGTAACTTATTACTTTTGTATTTGTAATGTTAAGTGCATTTAATAAAATGTTACTCAATTATGTAGAAAAAGGCTCAGGAGAGCATTAATACCAGATTAGCTCTCGTCATGAAATCTGGTAAATATGTCCTTGGTTATAAGCAGACTCTCAAGTCCCTACGTCAAGGCAAAGCCAAATTGGTCATCATTGCTAGTAATACACCGCCACTGAGGTGAGACTAAGAAGTAGCACTCCTTTTGTATTTACAAATTGACATTTTTAAAATTTATAAATATATATATATATTGATATTGTAAGCATAATTAATCCTTGTCAATATTTAAAATAATATATATACATATTATTATTGACAAGGATTAATTATGCTTACAACACCAACATTGACGGAAACTTGCATAGAATTGAGAATATTTTTTGACTTAATCAAGAATATGTATACAATATATTTTGATTTATAATACTTCATATATTTTATGTAACATTAAAAATGACTCGATTGAAGTTAAAACGTTTGTTTTAGATATATTTATATGATTGTTTAAATTAAATTGTTCATAAATTTACTTGGCTTGTTGCCCTCTTTATATTTATACTATTGTATATATGTGTATGTGTGTGTATGTGCGTGCGTGTGTGTTACATATATACATAGGTTGTCTGACAAGTTTTGAGCCCCATTCTCGGTCAAATTCAATTTTATTTTTCGTTATGGCACTCTCTATAGTCTATACTATCTATACCGTTACTTGTTTTTATGTTGGGCTCAAAACTTTTCAGACGACCCTCGTATATACAGGAAATGGAAGTAACTTGTTACTTGTAACGAAGTTACAGTTACAAGTTACTTTTTTAGTAACTTTACTGGTAACTGCGTTACTTTCTTTTTTTGGTAACTGTAACGGTAATGTAGTTACATTTTTTTGATAATGGTAACGAAATTTACAGTTACTTTTATTGCATACGATTAGATATGTTATTCTGTTATATAACAATTATATGTTAAAAATTGTCAATGAAATAAAAAGGCAATTAAGAGTCAATATTATTTGTGTGAACTAATAAAACATTTAATATATTATAAATTAAAATAAAATATCAATAAATTCATTTTTGGTTCGACTCATTCATATTTGGAATGACTTGCATTTGCAATGTGTTAACAAAATAATGATTTTGATCGTCACCGAATTTTAATAAATGACTCTTTTAACGACATAGATTACTCGAGGGTGAGTTTTTTGTCAGAGGGACAATTGCTTGTCACATTATTTTATTAATATAACGTTAATTTTTGTGTCCTTATTAGAACCACAGGGATACATCACAAACGATCTTCCAATCGCTTGATGAGCTAAATTGTTCTCTCTGTGGAAATACTCAACGTTTTAGAACATAACAATCCATCATAGTATTTTTCTTGTTTTTTCTGCGTTAACTAAAGATGTTTTACTGCGTTAATTAATATTTATATGTACATCTGAGGATGGCTCGAATATGCAGTCGAAACGTTATGATTTGACTTATGTTTGCGTGCACTTTTAAAGTGTGAATTTTAGTTTATTGATATTTTATTTTAATTTATAATATATTAAATATTTTATTAGTTCACACAAATAATATTGACTCTTAATTGCCTTTTTATTTCATTGACAATTTTTAATACTAAGAGTCCTGTATATTCGTTTTATTTTAAATTATGTTATTAATTACGACAGCTATAAATGTGGTTGTAGGACATTGAATGTTTTTATTTAATAGAGACGTACAAGCTGCATTTAGTTTTTAATCTAAACATCATACACATTTGTTCTAATTGAGCTGTGTAAAAAGCTTTATTCTGTACATTTCTGTATACATTTATGTTGAGCAATTAGAAAACACCCCTTTTTGCAAAACTTCTGTCATATATTTTAATTATAGCGTTATAATTTTCTTTCTATCAAAATATTTGATTTACAGCTAAAAGTATAGATTATTTAAGTAAAAATATAGCTGTAATATAGATTATTTCTTAATTTTCCTTTTAATTTCTAACTTATATCGTGATTTAGATAGTCCTAAACAATCTTATATAATCTTCTAGTTTTCTACAAAGTATTAAAAAATTTCTGAAATATTTCAGCTGTCAACTGCTGTAGCGATTATTAAGTGATCTTTGACAGCTGAGAAATATATACAGTACCATTATTTCAGGAATTATTTTGCACTTCTATTTTCTTATGTGATACATCGGACATATTATGTATATCTCAGTTTGCTGCATATTTTACAGGTTTTAGAATTACGAAATTATGTTAAAAAAAACTAAGAAATAAAACTATACAGTGTCAGTGTGTGTTATACATGCTATATATATATATCTATATATATATATATATATATATATATATATATATACATACACATATATATTGCTTTTATTAACGTTTAAACAAAAAATATTGCAAAAGTACATTTTCAGACTAATTTTTAAAAAATAACTTCCCATTCCTTGTATATGTGTGTGTGTGTTTAGAATTAATTAGGTTAGGTCCACAACCTGGCTTTAGAAGGCCCTAAGTCGTAAAGCTGTAAGAAATTGACCAATTTCAATCGATTATTTTTCTCGCATTCAACTATAATTAGTCAATTTCTTTGGTTTTACGGATTAGGGTCTCTTAAAGCGAGGTTGTGGACCCAGCCTAAAGTATCAATTTTAAATGAATAATCCACATAAAATTATGTATTAAAAGATAATAATATTGATACAACTATTTATTTGTGTATTATAAATCATAAATAGAAGTACTATGGAGTAGTCTCCTGCCTCTATCTATTTATAATTGTAAGTGCACAGGGTATTAGATTATAATTCTTTAACAATTAAAATATGATTTGTTTGGATTTAACAGGAAATCCGAAATCGAATATTACGCGATGTTGGCGAAGACTGGTGTACATCATTATACTGGAAATAATATTGAGCTAGGTACAGCCTGTGGTAAATATTTTCGTGTTTGTACACTTTCGATCACAGATCCTGGTAATTCCGACATTATAAAGTCTATGCCAACTGGTGATCAAGCATAATGTGTACATTTTTAATTTAATAAAAAATACAAAAAAATCTAAAAATTACTTTTTATTTATTTCTGTCCTCAATGTACATCTTTATACATACATATAGTATTTCAATTTTTAATCGTACTATTACTTAGTAACAATAAGTTTACGTTAAGACTACATAAAATATTTTATATGATTTAGTTATTCTCTTTTTTTATAATCCAAAAGAAATAGACAAGTTATATACTATAACAATATTAAAATCTTTGTATCATTATAAACATATATATATATATATATATATATATATATATATATTATATGTATATATGTTATAATGTAAATAATATTGGAATATTAATTTTAAAAGTATAATTTTTGTAAAATAACCAATTGTAAAAAAGAGAAAAGTAGATGTATATTTTTTCCATTTTTTTTTCTACAACCAAAAGTGTTTTACACTTGTTTAGTTCATAATTGTAATAAGTATATAAGTAGTATGTCGATTAAATATGTATATTACTTTGTATACAGCATGGTATTTATAAGATAAATCTTTTTTAATATAAAATATTACGAATTATTGAATACTATTGTACATACAATAAGATTTTCAATCAATAAAATCATAACTTGGAAATTATAATACAAGTTTATACAAGCAAAACAGCATTGATACATCCATCATTCTCAGGATTATTCGTAACTTGAGCGAATTTTCCCCATACAACTTTACCCGATTGCGTTACAAGACCCAATTCTGAAATATTTACTTCGATAATAGTTCCCTTGGTAATAACACCTAAATTTGTGTACATAGGAGAGCTCGGATTTTTCTTGACTCCAATGATTGGCAGTGAGAAAGTTGCCTTAAGCTCAGGATGAGTGACATGGGCGGTTTTAAATCTTAATGCCATTGGTCTGATAAATCTTTCAAATTTCGGTGGTTTTCTTGTAAAATTTTCTCCAACAAAGGTCACTTTAGTGACCATTCGCTTCCACGATTTCCGTTTCGTTTTCCCGCTTCTTACTACTTTAAAAACTTCTGACTCTGATTGCGCTCTAACTTTAGGTATTGGAACATCCCACTTGCCAACTTTCTCTTTTCGTTTCTGTTTTATCATATTTGATAGTACTTTGGCGCGTTTAGTAACATCACGATCCAGCAGGTATACAGGCAATGCTCCTTCCGGTAGCTTGTCAGACTTGACCTTGACTTTCTTCTCTTCATGAGCTTTAATCTTCTTTTTCATTTGAATCTTCTCGTTGTGTCGCTCTTTATTAAACATCTTAGCCTTTAAACCATGTAAACTACGGGCTTGCTTTGCTCGTTTGTGAGGCACACGAGCCTCTCTCTTCCTCTTTCTTTCCTCATAGTCCAAACGGCGACCATGAAGCTTACGGTGTTTCTCGATATATTCGTTCTGTGGCATTTTTCTACTCACATAGAATAAATTCTTTCTGAAAAAAGTAATTACTTGAATAATTTGAACATATATTATTAGCATATATCATATATAATTTTGTAGGTTTCTACAATGATAATGGCCATATGTACATTATCCTTGTCAAATTGAATATTATTGCAAACAAAATAATGTTAGATGAATATATATGTGAAATAATTTTATTTATATATTATAATACTAATCTAGACAAAAATATTTGTTTGTATTATCTTTACCAAAACTGTTACAGCATATTTATTATATTAGATATAATAAATAGGCGAAATAGTATAGGACTTTTAATATTCAACACACAAAGTATATATATATATAT